AAGAGAAGTTGGAGATTTAATAGTAAAGAATTCCTATAGTTCCAGTAATGAAAAGGCAAATAATTTAATTTAAAAATTGGCAAAGTGTGTGAATACAATCCAAAGAACATACCCAAATGGCCAATGAGCATGTGAAAAGATGCTCACCATCATTAGCCATCAAGAAAATGCAAGTAAAAATCATGAGCTACCACTTCACACCCACTTGAATGACTTAAAAAAAAAGGAAACTTAACAAGTGTTGGTGAGAGTATGTAGGAATTGGAATCCTCCTTTATTGCTGGTGGTAATGTAAATAAATGGGGCAGCCCCTGTTAAAAACAGTCGCAGTTCCTCAGAAAGTTATCGTATGACCCTGTAGTTCCACTTCTAGATATATTTGTTCAGGAGACTCGAAAGCATATTTATATCAATGTTCGTAGCAGCATTATTTTTAAAAGCCAAAAAATACTGGAAATTCAGCTCAAATGTCCACGAAGTGTTGAACGGATAAGTAAGTTCTGTGTAGTAAGTGTTGACAGGTGCAGCACTGTGGATGAACCTTGAAACATGCTAGGTAAAAGAAGCCAATCACAAGAGACAGCATCATGTGGTTCAGTTTATATGAAGTACGTGAAATAGGTAAATCCATAGAGACTGTAGTTTGTTGGTGTCCTATCACTGAGGGAATTGGGGGTAACTTAGGGAGTGACTGTTAACAGGTATCTGCTTCCCTCTGTCCCTCCTTCCCTTCCTTCAAGAAACACCTTTATTACATGAGCTAAGATAGGAGGGAGTGGGAGTAAAAAAAAAAAAGGGGGGTTTTATTTACTTGCGTTTCTGGACCTTGATATTTCTTAGAACTCCAGCTTCTTGCCCTCTAGCCCATAACCATCTGTTCAGCCACATTGGCCTAGTCTTGAAGCAGTGCGTACAAGTTTGCTCTGCTGATTTTGGCATTCTTTTTCCTTCATGTTTCTTCTGAAAAAAAAATTTTTTTTAATCATTGTCCTTCAGGAGTCAGCTTGGTCCCCTTTGTGTGGCTCAGTGGCAGTGCCTAGTGGGACTCAAAGAGTTGTCAGTGAGCATGATGCAATTCATTATTGGGGTCTTGGCGAGGGCCAGTTTTTGTTGTCGATGCATCAGTAATCCTTGTTTTGTGCGTACAACACTTGGAACCCCAGAAGTTACCCACATCCAACTTCGAGGCACTGTTCTTATTGCCTCCTTGCTTGGAGGGGCCAGTGTTAGTGTTGGCAGCAGCAAGGTGCCCCAGTTCATATTTTTGCTTCTTGAGGTAGTGCTTGCTTTTGCTTCTAGTCTTGTGCTCATTGTCCTGAGAGATGGCGATGGCTTGGTGTTTGCTTGAAAGAGCTGGAGCTTTTCTGTGTCAAGTGATGAAAATTGATTGTGGTGATGGTTGCAAAGTCCTGTGAATATGTTGAAACCCGTAGAATTGTACACTTTAAATGGGTGAATTGTATGGTATGAATTACAGATCAATAAAGCTGTGTAATGAAAGTGGGTAGCTGCTGCTTTTGAAGTTATACCAGTCTTTAGTGCATTGTTTTGCATCTTTCTAAATGCAGGGGATTATTGTATACACAATTGAATCTGGGATAGTAGAATATCAGAGTGTTTTATTTTTTAATATATTTTAAAAATATTTTATTTATTTTCAGAGAGAGGGAGAGAAACATCGAGGTGCGAGAGAAACATCAGTTGGTTGCCTCTTGCTTGCCCCCAACCAGGGGCCCAGCCTGCAACCCAGGCATGTGCCCTGACTGGGAATTGAACCCGTGACCTTTGTGTTCACAGGCCAGCGCTCAACCCACTGAGCCACACCAGCCAGGGCTCATTGAGTGTTTTAAGTATATTTTCACCCCCACGTTGTAAATATATTGAATATCCATTATTGAAAAATTTCAAAGCATAAAAATGTGAAGAAATCTAAACCACCTGGAATAATATCTAGAGACATAGCATTGTTAATTGCTATGATGGTTTTTGATGGTTTTAGATATTTGTGTATAGCTTTCACATATGTAATGTTGCAAAGCCTTACAATTTTAAAGAATGAATGTTCTTTTTGGTGTAGCTAGGCTTTTTCATTGGTTTCTTGGGAACAATTTAGAAAAGTGAATTACAGGTTCAGTTTTTAAAAAAATTAACATTCAGTATTAGTTTTAGGTGTACAGCATAGTGCACTGTTACACATTTAAGTAACTTAAAAAGTGATCCCCCATAAGTCTAGTACCATCACCCACCTGACACCATAGGTAGTTATTACAATGCTGTTGACTATTCCCTGTGCTGCACTTTACATCCTCCTGACTGTTTTGTAACTGGCGGTTTGTACTTAGTCAGTCCCTCCCCCCCTTCCACCCAGTCCCCAGACACCCTCCCATCTGATAACCATCAGTTTCTCTGTATCTGTGAGTTTGTTTCACTTCTGAGGCAAGTTTGATTTGTGTTAGTTTTTTAGAATAAACTAGTATATAAAAGTGAGCTTGAAATCATACACTTTTTACTTTACTGCCCCTAAATTTAGCCTTTTTTCATGACTAGGATTTAAAAAAAATTGGATGTTTTATTTTTATTTTATCTTACCCGAGGACATTTTTTTCATTGCTTTTTAGAGAGAGAGGAAGAGAGAAACATCGATGCGAAAGAGAAGCATTGATTGGTTGCCTCCTGTACGCGCCCGGACTGGGGACCGAATCCGCAACCCAGGCATGTGCCCTGACTGGGAATCGAACCCGCAACCTTTAGGTTACGGGACGACGCTCCAACCAACTGAGCCACACCAGCCAGGGAAAAAAATTGGACGTTTTAAATGAATGCCTTCAGGCTCTTATAAATTAGTGGTCTTATTACCATACTCCCTAATTGTCCTTTTTTAATGCTTCAGAGCTGCATTTTTAAAAACTAGCTTTATTGAGGTATAATTTATATATGATAAAATATACCACTTTTAAATGTACAATTCAGTAAATTTTAATAAATGTATTTATTGTGTAACCACCACAGTAGAACATTTAATTCTATCCCCCCCCCGCCCCTGGCCAAATTTGTCTTGTACTCCTTTGCACACAAGCCCCTCATTTCACTCCCATACCCTGGTAATCACTTAATTTGCTTTCTGTTCTTATAGTTGTGTATTTTCTGTAACACGATTTAAGTGGAATCATACTGTCTTTTTTGGTCTGGCATTTTCAGTTGGTAATAATGTTTTTGAAACTCATCTATGTTGTTATTTTTGAGTATCAGTAGATAATTCTTTTTTATTCCTGAGTAGTAGTTCATCATATAGATGAACATTTGGGTTGTTTTCATTTTTTGGCTATTATGAATAAAGTTACTGTGAACATATGTGTAAATGTCTTTGTGAAGATACTTCTTTTTCTTGGGTAATACCTAGGAGTGGGATTGGTGAGTTCTTAGTGTTGAACTGTATAAGAAAACTACCAAACTGTTTTCCAAAGACTTTGCCGTCTTAATATTTTTATTAACTGATATTCCTGAAAGGATAATTAAAAAAAAGAATCCTCGCCCGAGGATAGTTTTTCGTTGTTTTTAGGCAGAGAGACAAACAACAATGTGAGAAAGAAACATTAATTGGTTGCCTCCTGTACACATCGTATGTGCCCCAGACTGGGGATCAACCAAACCTGCAACCTAGGTATGTGCCTGGACCGGGATCAACCCGAGGCCCTTGGGTTATGGGATGATGCTCCAACCAGCTGAGCCAAACCGGCCAGGGCCTGAAAGGATAATTTTTTGAAATATATTTTCTGGGATTACATGTGATTTAACATAACTATTAGTGTTTAATAAAGTCAAAATTCACATTATTTTCTAAGGTATGCTCATGCTTAGAGTGTTAATATATGCTAGAGGTCCTTGTTAAAATGCAGGTCCTTTCGTCTCATCACCAAAATTCTCAATCAGTCAAGTTGGACAGCCACATGGTAATATGACATTTAGTTTTTCCCTAAAAGCGTAGTTTTCTTTAATATGTGTATTGAGTTAGTGTTTATTGAGCCATTTCTCGTTCTGCGCATTTACCATGCGTAGCATTTCCTTTTCTGTGCTCTACTTGGGATCTCCCAAGGTTTATCTGGGCCCCTTTCTTTGCTCGCCACCTAGTGGTAATAAATAGGAACCATCAAAAGTTTTGCCCCTGAATGAATTCATGAGGGTGGACAGTGCCTTTATAAGAGGAAGAGACCATTCAAAGGTTTTTGCTATATGACTGAATTCCCCTTCCTTCCGTGACTGTTGTTTGGGAAATATAATTTATTGTATTTAGAAATTTTTTGAAAGGAAATATACTTTAGAGCCTATAAATTTTTAATCTTTGCCTTAAACTTCCAGCTCAGTTATTTTTACTGGGAAATGTGTAGGTATGCATTCCTAGTTACTTACCTTTAAAAATATTTTTTTGAGTTTATTTTTAGAGGGGAAGGGAGAGGGAAAGAAACATCGATGTACAAGAGAAACATCAATAGGTTGCAGGCTTGCTCTCAGTCCACTGAGCAACACCAGTCAGGGCTATTTATTTATTTTTAGAGAGAGGGGAAGGGGGAAAGAGGAGAGAAACATTAGCCAGCTGCCTTGGGTGCGCCCCCAACTGGGGACCTGGCGCACAACCCAGGCACGTTCCCTGACCTGGAACTGAACCAGTGATCTTTTGTTTCACAGGCCGGTGCTCAGTCCCCTGAGCCACACCAGCCGTGGCTCTAGTTACCTTATTTAATATGAGAGATCACTCTAAACCATACTGTGCTAGGTACTATTCAAAATCGTTCTGGCTCCATACAACAGAGTCTCTTGTTCTAAGTTCTTAGTTTAATTTTCTTATACATGATTTTAGTTTCTCACGGTAATTTTGATAATTGCAAAGGTATTTTTATGTTAAAATTTTAGTATTTTGTTTTACATTAGCTTGACAGAAAAGACATATGGAAAGGATGTGTTAACAAAACTTTTAAGGTCTCATTTTTACTTTTTTGTTACAGAAATGGTGGAGTCAATGAAGAAAGTAGCAGGTATGGATGTGGAGTTGACAGTTGAAGAAAGAAATCTCCTATCTGTTGCATATAAAAATGTGATTGGAGCTAGAAGAGCTTCCTGGAGAATAATCAGCAGCATTGAACAGAAAGAAGAAAACAAGGGAGGAGAAGACAAACTAAAAATGATTCGGGAATATCGGCAAATGGTGAGATTATTATATTCTAGACATCTTTCAAGAAAGGTGTCTTAGGTGTTAGATACTTTAGATCATAGCTTAGTATATCCATGTGTTGTATACATATGTAACATACATTTTACATTTTAATGGGCCTGCATCTTTTGCTTACCTGGATTAGGAATATACACTATACAGTATTTCAGGACAGAGATAAACTCTTTTTTTGGAAGCTACAGAAGGTGGTGTTCAATTTTGAGCATCACATAGAGAATTAAGTTAATCTTTGTTTTTATTGTGGTAACTTATATAGCGATTTGCAATTACTACCCAGGGCAATTTAACAAGTATTTGTATGCCTCTTCTGCATCATATAATTTGCTAGGTGCTGTGGGTGCAAAGATGAGAAAGATAGTTACTATCCTTATGGATCTTTGGTGTATTTTTTTTTTTTAATAGAACAGTACCAGAGGGCAAAAGGTATTGTTTCAGATATTATATATGCGTGTATATACATTTATGTAGTTCTATTTTTACTGTGAATTTTGGTCAGAAAAGTTTGGTAGCCATTGATACAGTGGTTGTCAACGAGAGAGTGATTTAACGCCTCAGGACATTTGGCAATGTCTAGAGACATTTTGGGTTATCACAACTTGGAGGGTGCTACTGGCATATAGTGGGTAGAGACAGGGATGCTGATAAACATGTGCTATGCATAGGACCACCTCCTACAACATGGGATTATGTAGCTCAAAATATCAGTGCTGCTGTTAAGAAACTGAACCTAAAAATAAAAAAAAATTCTGCCTGGTGTGACTCAGTGGGGCATTGTCCCGCAAAGTGAAAGGTCTCTGGTTCAATTCCTGGTTAGGTCACATGCCTAGGTTGTAGGTTCGGTCCCTGGTCAGGGTGTGCATGAGAGGCAACCAGTTGATGTTTTTCTTTCTCCCTTCCCTCCCTCTCTAAAAATAAATAAATAAAATTTAAAAAGTGATCCTAATGGAAGAGATAGGCATATAACAGTACAGTGAGAGAAATTACAGAAGCAGGCACAAAATAGGATTGGGGAGTGAGTTTAATAAGGGGAGGGCGGGGGAATCACATTTATGGACTATTTACAGTTCTACTGGGCACTGTTCTGAGTGGGGAGATACAGAATGGTGTAAGATAATTGTGTCGTATGTTGCTGTGTATAACGCGCACTTTGTTGCCCAATTTTTTGAGGGAAAAATAAGGATGTGCATTATAATCCAGTGTGTAATGCATATAAAAATGTGGGTGTGCATTATACATGGGAGCACGTTATGTGCAGCAAAATGTTACTTAATAAATGATCCTCTATAACGGGTATTTCAGTTTATACCTGGGAGAACTGAGGGTGTTCTGAGTGATTAACATACCTGGGGTCACGTAAAAGAAGGTGGTGAGCTGGTGTCAGTATGACTCTTACCCTCAAATGTGTTGGAACAAAGAATACGTATGGATTGTCAGTGGACAAATTTGGTACATCAGAGGGGTGAGGAAATGAGAAATTTGAAAGTGGAGAGAGAAGTCTTATGTGCTGGAATGAGGGTTTGGGCTAAGTAGGAAAGGAATCAGGAAGCAAAAAGGATTGATAAGTTGAGAGAAGATGAAAGATTCAAGATGCTGAATGTCATGGTATGTCCCTAGTATGAATAACAGAGAGTAAAGGAACTAAAAAAGGAAGTTAGAAGTCTAGTAGTGAAATACTAGAATTTAAGATGTCTGGGATAGAGCAGCTACAGTTAGTGGTACTGAAAAGTGAAGGCCATGGAGTTGAGATCAAGGAACTATGTTGAAAGGAACATGGGTAATTAATACTTTGGTGTGACAGTAGGAATTGGAGGGGTAGGCTGCATATACTCAGTGAATGTGAATGACAGGGCTACAGATTTCTGTTGATTACAGAAATGGAGAAATAAGAACTGAAAGGGTAAACTTGCAAGGAGGAAGAGTTTGGAGTAGCAGGAGAGAACAGTCATACCAAGTCAGTGAGGACCTAATGAGGATTCAGAAATTCCTTCTAGAGTAGTCTCTGTATAAAAAGCCAGAAGGGGAGGCATTCAGGAAACAGCTAGTTTTGCTTAGGATCAGGATGAGATTATAGCAGAAAGCGGGAGAATTATTTATAGTGGAAAGGAGGTTACAGAGGGTGTGAGAAGAACTTAGAAAGGTTGGCATGGCAGTGTCACCGGGAATTAATAGAAAATGGAGAGTAAGATACGTAGTTGTGTTGAGGATGTCGTGCTTTTTTGGCATGGTAAATGAATTGAGAGGCAGTATTATTTTTGGTATACAGATTTTTGATGCTGTTAATTGGCTGTGGATGTTTCCCACTATAGTGATTGGCTGTTGAGCCCAGGAATGTGAGCACTGGGGTCAAGCAAATTGCCTCGGTTTCAGTTTTTATTTTGTTCTTACAAAGTGTGGTAGGCGTGCCTCCAATCATATCCTAGCTCTGCTTCTTTAAGCTCTTTTGTTGAACTTTGGGCAAACATTGTAATCTTTGTTTTCCCATGTTAAATGAAGACAGTAGTTGCTACTTGTTAGAGAAGTTAATTAATATAAATGTGCAGCACTTAGTAGTAATCAGTGTTATGCTTCTGTACCTGAACTGTGAGCTCATTTTTGAAAAATCACTTGATTAATAGCACATAGAAATAAGATAATTTCTATAACCTGGAGAAAACTGTTTTCTGCTTTTTGTATCAAGAGGGGAAAGGGGCTTTGAAGAGGGATGTATATTATGTTTAATATAGCTTTCTTCAAAACCAGAGGTAGAATGTGTTGTAATTTATAATTTCTTGGACTTAAACAAGTTTTGACCTTTTTTTCAGGTTGAGACTGAACTAAAGTTAATCTGTTGTGACATTCTGGATGTACTGGACAAACACCTCATTCCAGCAGCTAACACTGGCGAGTCCAAGGTTTTCTATTATAAAATGTAGGTTCTATATTGGAAGGGAAAAATGTCAGATTAAATGTTGGCCCTCTTAGAATCATCATTTTTTCTGTGTAGGTTTTCAATTTTTACTGAAGAATAATTGTTTAATGTTGGAAAGTTAGATGGGAGGAGTGATTTCTCAAAACTTAATTTTATTTGCAAATTCACTGCTAATGAAATACTGGTGTTAACTGCATTTAAGATGGTCAGACTATTACTGTAAAAATGTACTAGGTTTTGCTTTACCTATTTACATCTGTTTGCTTGTGTGGATTTTTCCCCTGGCTAACAGCAATGCATTATGTCGTTCAGTCTTAACATTTTTACATGGAATTTTTATTTCATGATTAACAAACTCGATTGTGCCATTCTTTGGGAACCACTTTTGGTATTTAATTCTAGTCTATCAAGTGATCGATTTGTTTATATTTTCTTTTTGAGGTTTTTACTCACAGCCTCTAGGATTTTGCTTATATTTGGTAATATGAAACCTGTAAGGAGGGAGACTAAATAGATGAGTCAGTCATTCCTGAAAGAGACTTTTAAAAATGATTAAAGTATACCAGTTATTGTTTAATATATTTTTCACATAGAAAAATTTTAAGTTATTTTTTATTTAAAAAGCATTATTTCTAATTCTGTCTTTTTGTTTGGTTTTGTTTTAGGAAAGGGGACTACCACAGGTATCTGGCTGAATTTGCCACAGGAAATGACAGGAAGGAGGCTGCAGAGAACAGCCTAGTGGCTTATAAAGCTGCTAGTGATATTGCAATGACAGAACTTCCACCAACGCATCCTATTCGCTTAGGTCTTGCTCTCAACTTTTCCGTATTCTACTATGAAATTCTTAATTCCCCTGACCGTGCCTGCAGGTAAGTTACGGTGGAGAACTAAAGCTTTCCCTTACAAAATTGAAAAAGGTTACAAAGGAGAATAACTACTTGGTTTTCTGTTTTGTTCGCTGGGACTGCCTTTTGTATGCTTGGTCATGTAATAAAGCATCCTTTTGGCTCTCAGTGAAAATGCTTTGTAATATAAAGCCACATGTATCTCAATTCAAGACAGACCTACTTCATTTTACTAGGAGAGCTGTTAGGATAATTACGTTGATGGGGAAAAGTTTAGTTGGTAGATTAAAAAAGAATCTAACCTGTTAGAGCATGGGAAAAGGAATGAGAAGAATTATTTTTAAACTATCTTCATTTTTATGTATTTGTTTTCAGTCCTTGTACATAATATTGTTAATACAGTTGTGCTTCTGCTCTCTGTATACCATTTTGTATTTTCTATTTTTTTAGATTTTATTTATTTTTAGAGAGTAAGGTAGAAAAAGAAAGAAACATCAATGTGTGGCTGCCCTCTACGCGCCCCTTATTGGGGGACCTATCCTGCAACCCAGGCATGTGTCCCAGCCAGGAATCGAACTGGTGACCACCTGCTTCGCAGGCTGGCATTCAGTAAACTGAGTCACACCAACCAGGGCAGCTTTTTTATCTTCAAAAATTATGGTGAAGTAAATGTAACATGAAATCTATCGTTCTATAATCATTGTTAAGTGTACAATTTAGACTTGGCACCAATATTTATTCCCAAAACTTTCTCATTACCTGAAATAAACTATAACCACTAAGTGATAACTCCATATCCCCTGCATAATCTCTAATTTCTGTCTTTATAGATTTGCCTATTTTGGCTAGAAGTCTTACCAATAACAAACAGTTTATTAATACATATTTCCTATGTGATATGTATTATATACTGTTTTATTATAATAAAGTAAGCTAGAGAAAAAATGTTATTAAGGAAATCATAAGAGAAAACACTAATTCACAATATATGTAACTTTATTCTGATATTTCTGGGCTGTTCAATTTGCAAGTTTTTTCAAACTCGCAAATTTCCAATTTTCCTTTTTTTTTTTTTTTTTTTTTTTTTTTTTGAAAAAGTGGTAGTGGACCTACACAAATCAAACCCATCTTGTTCAAGGGCCATCTGTATTTGTGTTTTGTAACTTCAGTATTCTTGAATATGTAGAAACCAAATGTTCCATTAAAGGGGAGATTTTCCTGCTGTGTAAGGGTGGGTTGATTTGAATGCAGAGTAATACTCATCTTAAAACACTCTAAGTGCCTCCTTGTGTTTGTTGAAACAGATATGTCTTAGCTGAAGAAGTTAATAGCTGTCTGTTCAGCTGATAGAGTATTGGTTGAATCTTTTGTTAGTCTCCAGTCTCGCTGTCCCATATACATGGCTTCAAACTAAGTTATCTCCATGCCACTTCTCCTGTTTTTGCTTTAGTCTGGACTGTGCCATTTGCTCTTTCCCTACCCATGAAAATTAGTTCAAATTGGACTTCCCCTACTTGCTCCTCCTCATGGGTCCCTGTGGCACTTTCTCTAGAATAGCACATCATTCTTTTTTATTTTTTTAAATAATGGCTGTTTACGTGTCCTATTCCTAGATGTTTTCAGGTTTATTGTGTACTCAGATTATGTCTCTTCTGTTTCCCCACCAGTATCCAGCATCACTTGGTGTACGTAGTACACAGTACTCAGTAAATGTGGAGTTTTTTCTTTTAAATTAATAGCAAATGACTTTTATCATTATATTTCTATGGCTTCTATATTATCCTTTTTTTGGGTAAGATACTGTCCAAAATAAATAAATAAATAAATAAATATATATATATATATATATATTGCATTAAAGGGTTATTAAACAAGTGAGCTATTAACTGAAACTTGGAAATACCTTTATTATACATATGTTTTGGTGGTGTTTTAGTTTGGAATTTGGTCTATACAGTCTACTTACTGATAGGCTTATTGAAAGCACAGTAAGAGGTGAGGTTCCAAAAGTTCCCTTAGCTCCCAAGTTGCTAGATTACAAAATTAAGTAGGGAGTTAATTTTCATCAGTTACATGAGCATTTCCTTTATTTCAATGCCTAAACCCAAGTACTCAGTGTCACTGTTATATACTGTTGGATAACTGAAGAAAAGAGCAATATCTTAACATTTCTAATTCTGTTTTTGGACTTGTTATTTTTATAATACACTTATGTAAATACTTGTAGGTTGGCAAAAGCAGCTTTTGATGATGCAATTGCAGAACTGGATACGCTGAGTGAAGAAAGCTATAAGGACTCTACACTTATCATGCAGTTGTTACGTGATAATCTGACACTATGGACTTCAGACATGCAGGGTGACGGTAAGGAAACTCAAGTTAAATGTGTGTCTTTCCGTTGTTGGATCTTTTTACTCTTAGAAATTCCTTGGTATTTTTTTACATCGAGCTACAGTTTCTTCTATTCTCCAAACTATCAAAGTTTAATTACTACCTTTCATGAAAAGATACTGAAGTACAGATTTCTTTTATTAGTATTTAAAGGTTTAAACGTTTTACCTCTAATTAATGTTTGGTAAACCTAGTTTACCTCTTTCGCTGTTTTTTGAAAGATGGAGAGAGAGAAGTTCATTTTATCTTACTCAGGTTTAATTTTAGAGGTCTCAGGTTAATGGTATTTGAATGTCATGATCATTGCTTTGGCTAAGTGGTGTCCTCACGTTAAAACTAGATGGCATCAGTAGATATTTATGAAACATCTTCTCTGGAAATCTTTCCTCTAAAAAAGGAATGTTTCCTTATGGATTCTGTGCAGTAAATGGAATGCCCTGTCCTTCAGTCCTGTTTAAGAGGTCTGGTGTAGTCTGTTTTTTTTAGAGTTTTCAGTAGCAACGGCCAATAGAGTAGCTTATAGAACTTAATCTTATGATGGAGTGGAGGGTTTACTCTTTATTCTAAATGTAGTTAAGGTTAAATTTGTCACTTTTATTTTAAAGGAGATTTTATTGTGCCTGTTTCCGAAGACTCATTTTCATACACAATAGATCATTGAACAAGGGAGGACAAACTAGTGTGATGTGACCGTACATAGTTTCACAGTTGGTGGGGATGTAGGGAGCGGAAACAAAAAGTTTGTTGTCAGTTTCAGCTGCAGACCCTTTAATGGTGTGTTCCCCAAATTGAAGCATATGTTGCATTGCCTGATGCTAGCTGTAGTCTTGGGCAAACCATACAGTGTCTTTAAAAGCATTATACTTTTTAAAGATGCTCCTGAAAATGGGTATCAAGACATGTAAGTTCTCATTTTCCTTACTCTAGTTCTAGTAGGATAGATTCAGGTTTTAGACTTATCTTGGGTTATATGGTGCTAAAGTGAGAATTGGATGATTCAGCTTCTAGAGCTCATTAGCTCTGTGAAGTATTTAGATATTTGATGAGGACTGGCTTGAGCTACATAGCACATGTGACCTATTTGCACACCTTTACAACAAATTCAGATGGAGCCACTGATTATTTTTTGACGCCGCACTTCGGGCAAAATCAGTCCCACCAAGCAGCAGGACTCAAAAACAGTCTATCATCTTTGAACTAATGATTTAAGGTTCCTTCCAGCTGTAAAATTCTGTCATATTCTAACAGTAATTACTAAGAATTGGCCAAATAGCTGTGGACTTTTCATAGTCACCCTCAGCTCTGGGAAGACTAATAAACCTGCCTCTTTGAGGGGATAAAAGGAAAGCATGTAGAGAGTTCAGTAAGCGGTATTGACCTAATAAGTAAACTATATCCTCTGCCCTGGGGACATTTTTTTGAGGGTACAAATAAAAAAAGGTGACCTGGGTAGAAAATGCTATTATTTTAGCCATTTGATGCTGGCTTTTACAACTGAGTTGTTAGGCTAGCTTCCGTTTTTTAGTGCTACTACTGTTCTTTTAATTTAAATCACTGATAACCATTTTTATACAGAACCAAAGGTAACACTTTTTCTTGGTTATTGGGTGTCATTTTATGAAATGGATCATTTAAAAATAAGACGTCTCTTTAAACTGCTTATGTTTTCATAGTTGGGAAGGTTCTTTATCCCAAGATATTTTTAATTACATTAGCATAGATTAATCCTAATAGTTTATTGTTTTTTAAATATTTACTTACATTTTTTAGAGAGGGGGGAGGGAGGGAGAAAAGGAGAGAAACATCGATTGGTTGCCTCTTGCATATGCCCCAGCTAAGGACTGAACCTGCAAGCCAGGCATATGCCCTGACTGGGAATCGAACTGGCGACCTTTCTTTCACCTTGCAGGACAATGTCCAACCATTGAGCCACACTGGTTTGGGCCTAAAAGTTTTTTTAATCTAGTGAATTCTAGTTGCTTGAATTATTTTTTTTATTTTTAAACTGAGCAGTTAACTTGGGTTGAAACATACATTTTCATTTAAGAGCTTTGTTGTAAAATATCTGGAATTATGAAACATGATAAACACTGAAAAATCCAAGTAGTATCTTGGCCTTTTCGTAAAATTAACAAACCATCTGAATTTATAAATTGTTGTGGACGCTCTAGGACGTTGTTTCCCAGTTTTGCCAAAAGGTATAGTATTACATAATGTTTTATTAAAATTGGTTTTGTGACTTAGAATCAGTGCCAAATATAGAAGAAAGATGATCATGGAATTCGCAGTTTTTCAGGAGGTAACTTGAATTTAGTTTTAAGAATTACTGGTTTGGCCAATAAGTTCTTTTACTTTTTCCTGTACGATGGCACTAGTAGTGCTAAGTTGTCTTTAACTTCATTTGAAAGGATTTTATTAGATTGTATTGTGACAGCTGTCATCAGCGTACATTTTAATAAAACATCAAAATGGTGAGGGTTTTGTGTTGCCGTTTTAATGTTGAAGGTGGAAGAAAATAAGCAACATTTTTGACATAATTCTCAAGAAAGGTGAAAAACGCAACTGAAGCACAAAAAGAGATTTGTGCAGTGTATGGAGAAGGTCCTGTAACTGATCAAATATGCCAAAAGTGGCTTGTGAAGTTTCTTGGTACTGTTGACATTTTGGCCAAATAATTCTTTGCTGTGGGGCTGTCTTAAGTACTAGAAGATGTTAGTAGCACCCTTGGCCTCTACCATTAGGAGCCAATAGTGGGAGGTAGCTGACACATTCAAAATACCCAAATCAATAAAGTTTTTGGTGAAAATGAAAAATGTGCCTTTTATTTTACACGGTAAAAAACCACATGGATGTTTTGGTCAACCCAGTATTTATTTAGTTGGTTTTCTCCTTTTTTACTTCACTAACTTGAAAAATAGTATCATAAAACATTTGAATTGAGGGTTTCTAAAGGAAGAAATGTATGTGGTTCACAAGCTTTTACTTACACACTTTTATGTTTTTTGACTGCAGAATATGTTAGTGTCTGTCTGTTGGAACATAATTCCTTAAAGGGATCGCAGCTTTTTCTCATGAAGTGATTTCAGTCGTTTTCTCTTAACCTATGATCTGTTTCATATGCAAATCCACAGAGGAAATGTGGTTTCCCTACCTCCCATTCCTCCTCCCCCAAAATCTGCAAACAGTGGGCAAAGAAACAACATACCCAAGGAAAACTTTTTTTCTTCTATATACCTTTTAAAAGGATGTTATTTCATCCTCTTAAAGGTAAAAGGAACAAAGTCTTTCTTATAGTGAAGTTTATACAAAATAAAAAGACCAAAATCTGACTCCCCTAAATCATTGATGTGTTTTCCTTTGTCCTCCTCTCTTGGTTTATTTTTCTTGTAATGTTGCTTTCATGTGATTGTTCTCCCTCCCTTTCTCCTTGCAATATAGATTCCTAAAGGAAAACCCAACTCTTCTTTCCTAAAAACTACTTTGTAAGTCATTACCATGGCACAGTGAATTCTGCTTTTAGTTTTGGTTCTTCACTAATCATGCTTGCATATCATCATTATCCTGTCGCTTACAAAACTGCCTGTTCTACATTCCAGGATGCAAAACCTTCTGAGACATTTATGATTTGCTACCCTCTGTCACCTTTGGTTGGGTGTGTTTTATCTGACAATATTTTTTATGCCAAAGTTACTTGGAACTTTTGGCAAATCTAATGTTTGCTTATGAGTGAATTAGAGTGTGCTCTTTTGTATGTTAACTATATTTTGGCACAGTATATTGCTGTTAAAAATAAGAATGAAGTGTTCCTATTACTTGAATACATCATTGTTCTTTGGGGAAGAATAGTTGTGTGGTCCATCATTTCTTTCTTCAGTAAATGGGTATTTTTGTCTTTCTTTGCATGTCTTTTTCTATATTTGAGTCAAAAATCTTTATGTACCTCAAAGTATTTTTTAGAGTCCCATGTGAATGTTAAACATTTTTATCACAAAGGAAATTTTAAAATGACAAACTAATCTTTACTTAACCTTAACCTTTGTTGTGGCAGCATCTATTGTTTATCATATCAAGGTCTTTAAGACTGTTTATTATTATTTTTTTAATCCTCACCTGAGGACATGCTTACTGATTTGAGGGAGAGAGAATGAGAGAAACACTGATGGGTGAGAGAGACATTGATAGGTTGCCTGTTGTACGCACCCTAACCAGGCACCAAATTTGCAGCCTAGTCATGTGCCCTGACCGGGAGACGTGCCCATGACTTTTTGGGTGCTTCAGCCAACTGAGCCACACTGGGCAAGCCAGGACTGTTTAAAAGCATTCTTCAGGGAAACTGCTTTATGTCTGTAGAGAGCCAGTCTCAGTGTCATTTGTCCATCCTAGTTAACAAATGTAACAAGCAATATGAATGGATGGTCTGAACTGTCATATTATGATTGTTGGATTAAGTCATTGATTTTTTTCAGTTATTTTGATTTAAACTAGTAATATGTAGGAATTACAAGTGTTTTGTTACAGCACAAAAGAATGTAACTTTTACTTGCTTTATTTTTTAGTGAAAGCCTGCATGCTTCTTTATTGTGGCTGACTTATTTAATGCTTATGAATAGGTAGATGAATATGCTGGCTTTCTATTGCATGTCATAGTGCAGTTGAAACTCTTCAGGCTAATCGTCATGTTCAAAGGGAAAAGAAAAATGGCATGAGAAAACTGGTCTAAATGCCCTTCTTTAATAACCTCAGAGGCCTGATCTTCTTTGAGTGTGTTGTTTCACTCTGGAGTGAGAAATCTGGTTATGGTTTGGTGTCACTGGCCAAGATACAAAATATAAAATATTTACAAAAGCAGAACCCTCTCTCCAAAACTAGAAGTCCCTTGGAGCATTTTACTGCTCAGTTCTCTTTATTGAAGTATTCCTGACACAAACGTGGGTAAATTAGATTTTGCAAAAAATTGTAAAAAACTCTCAATTCTTGATGAGGTGAGGTTATTGAGAAAAGGGTATTTTGACACAATATACATGAAAGCTTGAAAATCATTTTAATAATATGGTTACTAAAAACATTGACTATGTGTCAGTTTTATTTTTTTCATCCTGAGTATTGACCATTTAGGACCTTAATCCAGCAGCGCCTGCCCTCTTGGCTTAGGCATCTCAGATGTCAAGGGTGGTAGAAGTTCTTTGCTTGTCTTTGTTTAATACCAATTGTAGCAAATATAAGGAGTTTTTATGCTTGGAATGATGCCTTTGTGGCCTTGACAACCTCATTTAGTCAGTATAAAATAATTGTCATTCTTCTTTGCAGGTGAAGAGCAGAATAAAGAAGCGCTGCAGGATGTGGAAGATGAAAATCAGTGAGACATAAAAGCCAACAAGAGAAACCATCTCTGACCACCCCTCTCCTTCCCATCCCACCCCCTCCCCCTTGGAAATTCCCCCATTGTCACTGAGAACCACCAAATCTGACTTTTACATTTGGTCTCAGAATTTAGGTTCCTGCCCTGTTGGTTTTTTTTAAAAACAGTTTTCAAAAGTTCTTAAAGGCAAGAGTGAATTTCTGTGGATTTTACTGGTCCAGCTTTTAGGTTCTTTAAGACACTAACAGGACTGTGTAGAGGCTTTTTCAGCATTACTGTATTGTCTCCTGCCAGATGTGGCAAGGTAACCATTAGAAATGGAAATTACATTTAAAAGCCAGTAGACTTCTAGGTGAAGCAAGCATCTCAGAGAGGTTATTGACATATAGAAACATATGTGGTATCATTTTTCCTTTTTCTAATTGTTCAAATTGGATTTTGTACCAATGTTTAAAATTAATTGGGTGTTAGCTTGAGGTGGTTAAAGGTTGTTTGGGGAGTTTGTTGTAATGGTTTTGCTGTAAAAAGTGTTTCAAATTCTGCTGAAATGTTGCTGAAAAGCATGGTGCTGGTAACAGTTCAACAATCCGTGGCTGCTCATTCTTGCCTACTTTTATTCTCCCTCTGAAGCAGGTTAGCATTGAAGATGGTATGGAAAAGCCTGCATGCGTGTTCAGTTCTTTGTTTCTTCTCCTTCCCTCTCCTGGCCCCCCCTCCTTCGCTCGCTCAACCTCTTTTGTTCAGTATGTGTAACTTGAAGCTAATTTGTACTACTGGATATCTGACTGGAGCCACAGATACAGAATCTGTATTGTTCTTACTGAAACACAGCATGGAATTAACATTAAACTTAAATAAAACAAACCTAAATTAAAAATGCCAAATATTATTGCGCCTCCATCTTTTATCTTTCTAAAATAAAATCTCTAGTCTAAACACACTGATGGTATTATTTGCCTGAATGTGAAAAGATCTCTCTCTTTTTTTAATAAATTGCCTGTCTGTTTCTCAATGATAATGTATTATTTTTGGAAAAAAAATGACCTGTAAACCTGGCTGTGAAGAAAACTAAGTAGTCCAAGTCAATCCATTGCCCATCCTGTCTTCTAAACCAAGTAGCAGTATTTATTTTAATCATTAAAGTACAAATGTGTATTTAATACACGTGTAATTATGGATCATTTTCTAGCATGGAGTTGTGGGTTATATAACCAGATGTGGCTGAATATTTTAGAATAATCCTCCTCAGGCCAAGGTAAAATTACCCCCACCCCAACTCCTACCACCAAGGTCAGTGGCAGGGACAGAGAGAAATATGAAATTCTCAGTTGTACACATGGTTAGGCAATAGTTTAGCTATGGTTCCCCTAACTAGGAACACTGAGTTTTCTTCTAGAGATTGTATATCAATGTGTATAGAAATTTTAGTTAATACAGATCATTCTCTATCAGGAATTTTATGAAAGGTTTCCTTAGCTGTGTTGACTTTATTCAGCAAATAGGATGCAACGAACATTTTTAAGTTTGTGACAATCTTGGTATTGAGAGAAAACCTGCCACCCAGAGAAACCAGTGAGGTACTTAGAGTGAGTGAGGATTGGTACAGGTCTTTAGAAAGGTCCCTATCAAAGGTCCCCAAGAGGAAATCAGAAGATTGCAGAAAGGAAGCCACGCTGTAGGGACAGTGCGACTCCCACCTCCTGTGACTGGTCAGGAAAGGGGGCGTTTTCCAGCTCTGGGTTTAGCCATCTTTGAGGATCGATTGCCATAGAAACCTGAGTTATCATTACAGCTTGAAAGCACTTAATTTGTGTTTTTAAATATAATTCTTAGTGCTTTGTTTTGTAGAAAGTGTTAAACCCAGATATTTTCTAAAGTGTTGCCACCAATAAGTGGGTATTGATACCTGTGCTTGGGTTCTGGGATGGGAGGCCATAAAAGCAAATCTCTAATGTATTTTCTAGGAAGATTAGAGTGAACTTAGAATAGATTGTTCGAAGGGGAAGTTAAGAAATACATCTAACATGGCCTCTACCCCCAGACAAATGCCACTTAAGAGTTTATAAATTAGCTATGTTACTGATTCTAGGCTAGTGGACAGGAGAGGGAGCTGTGCTGAAAAATTGTCAAAGATTTTTGTCTTGAAAATTGTTCACAGGGATTTCTCGAAATTCTGAGATGGATGATTAAAGAAGCGGTGGTACTGGATCCGCAAAATCCAACCCTATCTCGTTTAGTATCTTTCTTAGAGTTACTAGGCTTGTAATTCATACTGACAATATGAGCTAACGTTGATAATCAGCTGTGTGCCGGGCACTGTGCGTTTTCAAAATGGATCTGCAGTGGAGCACACGGGTGATACTCTATTAGGTGAGCTGTCATTTGCATTTTGCACAAAGGGAAACAAATAGGTGAACTTGCCCAAAGTCACGGAACTGGTAGTATAAGAGCAGGATTCAGAGTCTGGTTACCTTTATCAAAACTTGGTGTTTTATTGAAACTTTCTATCCCCAAAGCGATCATTTAGGATCCATATATTTTAACATTTCTGTGGTAAGCTAAGTATATGTTTTAGAAGGGATACACCCCTTCAAAAGCTGTAATGTGTATTAATCACAAAAATTACATTAGAACATAAATGATAAGCCTCTGAGGTGGCTGCTGTCTGAAAAGGAAGGGTCATAAAGGCTTATCACCTAGATTTTTTTTGGCAGTTTTTAATCTAGCTTAATTTATAAATTCAAGAATTAGTCATCTGTACAGTTAGAGCAGTTATTTCCATTTAAAGTAGGTAAGCTTGGACAAGCAGGTAATTGGGTGATTACGGATTGTCAAATTGCCACAGTGCTGTGACTAAGTTTTCTGGAGAACCAAGGTCTTAATACCTTAAGGTCAAACTCAGTTTTAGCCACTTTAGGTGGAAATACTTCTAAAATTCATTACTTTCCAGCTTTGTAAGAAATGCCCCCTGGACTATGTCAGTTACTGTTTCGGGGGAGATCCCAGGTTGATGTCTGGCGCGATCAGCTCACCATGGGGTGTTCGGGACAGCCCTGCTATGTATAAGGAAGGCTGCATGCAAATTGTTTTCCTTAAAGTTCTTGCACTGCAGACGTTTGTATATCAAGTAATTTTAAAGTTTTTAAAAAACTTCAGTATCAGAAGTACGTCAGAAGTGTGCAATCTTAATAAATTTTAACAGAAGGAACACACCATTGAGCACCACCCACATCAAGAAATAGAACAGGACCAGAATCGAATACTCATGCTCCCTCTTCAGTGATTACTCCTGCAACTAAAACAGTATCTTGATCGCCATCGGTTAGTTTTGCCTGTTTTTAAACTTGATATTAATGGAGTCATATACACCTCCCCCCCCCCCAACATTGTGGGATTAGTCCATGTCATTCCCTAAATAGTGTGTTTTCATAGCCCTGTAGTAGTGTGTGAGTATACCACTGTGTATCCTGTGTGTGGAAACTGGGTTTTCAGTTTTTGGTTATTGCAGAAAACACGACATTTCTGTACATGTGTTTTGGTATGTACATGTATGCACTAATGTAGCATGTATACTTAAGAAAGGACTTACACTGGGTCCTAGGGAATATGGTTCAGCTTCAACAGCTAGTATGCCGCTTTACAACACAACGCTGCTCGTATGAATCCAGTTGGCACCACATCCTCACTGGCGATTCATCTGGTCACTACTTTTAGCTGTAGCATTTGGGTGAGTTCACATAGTAGTATCATTCTGAATTTAACTTGCATTTCCCTGATGATTAGTGAGACTGAGCACTTCTTTCATAGCTTTAATGGACATTCGGATATTTATCCCCCTTCTGCCAATTTTCCTGTAGGGTTGTCATTTACTTGATTTTTAGGAAGACTGTGTCTCTAGAGTTAAATATCTTCCATTCTGTGCCTCCCCCCCCCGCCTTTTCCCCTCTTAATGGTGTCTTTTGATGAACAATTCTGAATTTTGGTATAGTTTAGTATCCATATTTTCCTTTAAGGGAAATGCTTTATATGTCTTAGAAAATACTTGCCCACCCAAGATCATTAATCTTTGACCTCTCATATCTAGATGTAGAATCCTGTTGCGTTTTTGTCCATAATAATAGGGAGATATTAAAAATATTTTTCTGTATAGGTACTCAGTTGATCTAGCATCATTTATTATTTCATTGGTCTGTTTGTCCTAGTGCCAATGTGACACTAGGTTTGAAATAATTCATTATCTGGTGGTGTGAGTGCTCTAGTTTTCTTTTTTGTTAAGATTGTATTGGTAACCCCTGACCCTTCCCACTTTTATACACATTGTACAATCAACTTGTCAATTTCAGTAATTGAACAGCAATAAAACCTGGGATTTGGTTAGAATTTTATCAGATCTATGACAAATAGAAGAAAGAACATCTTTATATAATCGTGTTCTTAAATTTATCAATATAGTGTACCCCTCCACTTAGATCTTTAATTTTTTAAAATGTGCTCTGTAGAGGTCTTGTGCCTTTTTTTGGCCATATTTCTAGGTATTTGAATTTTTGGTGTTATTTTAAATAGTACTTAAGTTTTATTTTCAAATTGTTGCTTACAGTAATATATATTGATGTATTCATGACCTTGCTATATTAATTTAGTCTAAGTTTTATGTAGGTCCTGAGACAAGTTTTTTTAAAAGGACTATGATAATACGAAAATTTTAAATGCATGCACCCCTCACTTGCGCGAGTGTGCCCACAAGTGTATGCAAAATATTTGCATTTCAGCATTATAATGGCAAATTAGAAATAACCTAAATGCCCATCAACCACGGTACATCCTTAATATGTATGCTATGTTGCTGTTACAGAAAATGAGGTAAACCATTTCTGATACAGAAAGATATCAGCATATAATGTTACGTGAGAAAAATAAGGTGTGTGTGTAACAGGAAAATATTCTGTGTACTTGCCTATCTTTAGAGTTTCTGAAAGACATAACTTTCATTTAAAAAACAGCTTTATTGAGGTATGATTGGCACATAAAGCGTGTATATATAAATTATACCTTTAAGTTTTGGAATATGATACATACCTGTAAAACCATCGTAATCAAGACAATCAGCATTCACCCTAAAAAATTTCCTTGTACTTTGTAATTAAGCAACCACTAATCAGCTTTTTGTTATTTTACCTTAGTTTGCATTTTTTGGAGTTTTATATAAATGGAATCATACAGTTAATTCTTTTTAGGAGTGGTGTTTGGCTCCTTTTCACTTGACATGATTATTTTGAGATTCATTCATCTTGTGTGTATCAGTAGTTCATTCTTTTTATCGTTGAGAAGTGCTCCATTGTTTGATACACCACAATTTGTTTATTCACCTACTGATGGACATTTTGGTTTTCAGTTTCTGTTACAAATAAAGCTGCTATGAGCGTTTGTGTACAAGTCTTTATGTGGGCATATATATTTTTTTGAATAAATAGGAGTGGAGTGATTGGGTAGTATGGTAGGTACATATTTATCTTTTGAAGAAACTCAAATTACCTGACAAAGTGATGGTACCATTTTTTATCTCCACCAGCAGTATCTGAAAGTTCCTATTGCTCTACATCCTCTCCAGCACTTGGTATGGTCAGTCCTTTAAAACTTTCCATTCTAATAGGTGTATAGTGGCATTTCGTTGTGATTTTAATGTGTATATTTCAATGACTAATGATCAGCATCTTTTTATGTGCCGATTTGCCATCCGTGAAGTGTGTGTGATAATAGTCTTCTGATTCATGAACAAGGTGTATCTAATAGTTTAGGCTTTTTTAATTTCAGCAATTTGTCATTTTTGTCAGATTCTCAAATATTTCATAATTTTTGATGTTTATGTAAAATTCCTTT